CCGTTGCACAAAAACTATTCTCACCAAGGAGGGTGGCTGGGGAATTCTGGGAATTGAAGTCCACACAACTTCAAGTCACCAAGGTCGAGGAATGCCATCCTAGAGATTAATTGGTTTTGGCCAAAGACACAGCAAGGAGACCAAAACTAGGAGTAACGTACAGGAGATGTTATCCAATCTCTCAATCTCTCAAGTTATCCAATCTCTCCAGCAACATGCCTTCTCTTGCCAAGGTCCTCTCCTTGTATCCCCGTCCTCTGGTGCTGATAAAAAGCCTGACCAAGGATGATGTGGCTATGCTCCTGCCGCTGACACTGCTCATTCCACCTGGATGTTCTGGCCAGAAGATGCAACCCAGATGGAAGCCAGATAGGTGTTTATGTTGGAATATTGCAAGAGTTATGAAATCCCATTTTAAAACTACCCAAGCAGGTGGCCATCCTTGCACTTTCCAGTAGGGAACTGAACAGGTTACATATCTGCTGCTTGAAGAAGTGCTTCCTTCTGTCTGTTCTAAATCTCTTTCCAATCAGCTTCCTAGGCTGACTGTGGTCCCAGCATTTGGTGATGAGGAGAAAAACTTGTCCCTGACCATTTCCTTTATGCCTTGCATGATTTTATACACCTTGATGAAGTCTCCTCTGAATCACCTTTTTTCCTGCACTGAGTCCCAAACATCCTAGCCTTTTCTCACAGGAAAAGCATTTGAACCCCTTAAGATGCGGATTGCTTTCTCTTCTGCCCTTTTCCCAGTTCTATTATATACTTTTTCCAACTGGTGGGACCAGGACTGCATAGAGTACCCCAGGTGTGGAGGTACTTTATGTAACACCATTACAGGATTGGCATTTTTATTCTTCATCCCTTTCCTAATGATTTCTAGCATGGCATTTGCTTTTTCCATGGCTGCCACTTCATGAAATCAACACCTGCACTGTGCTCTCCAAGATCTTTTTTTCTGGTTACTCAGACTCTTCAGATCCCATCAGATTATATGGGAAATAAGGGTTTTTCACCCTAATGTGCAACACTTTCCACACACCTAAATGGAATGACATTTGCTATTTGGTTGATTATTCAGCCAGGTTAAAGAGATTCTTGGGGAGCTCTTCACAATCACCTTTGGTGTTCCTGAATGGTCTTGTATCAGTTACTATGACTGCTTACCTCTAAGTCGGGATCATTTATGAGCAAGTTTAAAAGCCTTGGTCCCAGCACAGATCATTAAGGGTTCTTACCTTTCTCCTCTATGAAGATTGCCCAATTATTCCTGCTCTTGGCTGTTTTTTTAAAAAGGACAGGCTCTCTTATGCCATGGCCCTTTGGTTTACTCAAAAGCTTTTGATGAGGCTTTTTAACAATCCGAGTAGACAACATTGACAGGGCTACCCCATCCATGTGCTCTCAAAACACTCTACAAGGTTGTTGAGGCAGAAGTTTCCTCTGCAGAATCCATGGTGGTTTTCCTTCAGCTTGACTTGTTCCCCTGGTGATTTTTACTTGGAATACTGTTTCTTGAACTTGCCTGAAACGGACATTAAGCTAATTGGCCTCTAATTTTCCAGGTTCCCCGAGGTCCTTTTTAAAAACTGGTGTCACCCTATCTTCTAGGTCTCCCAATAATCAAAGTAACAACCAGATCCAACTTTTCTGAGATCATCCAGGATTGGCTGAATGGTGTCACCTAGCTGGGCAAGGTGCCAGTTTGTAAAACAGAGCATGGCCAATAGAAGCCTGGCATTTTAAAAAGTAGATTTGGGGAAATGTGCTCAACAAAATAAAACTCATTTTATCAAGAAGCTTTAACGTTCTATTCTTGCATCCCTTGAAGAACCAAGGTTTTTTGTCAATCATTCTTTGTAATAATATTGAAGTGATTTTTTGAATTATTTGTATAACTAATTTCCCCACCTCTGCAGCTCTAAATTATATAGCAACAAAACTGCTTTGTTCCTTCCATAGCTGGTAATTGAGTTAGGAATTTATATTCAGGTTGTTTATCTTGCTGTTCTGCAGAACCTGCTTCTATGTTTATGAGTCAACAAGTGTGTCTCCAGAACCTTCCCTACTACAGAGAATTTAATCAGATGTTAATAATAATTTATTAATAATTTATTAAATTTATACGCTGCCTGACTCTGATGCTGGGCAGTTAAAAGGATTCATTTTAATTTGATGTGCATTGTGTATGAATGTAAAAAGAATATATATTTATGACAAGAAATATTTCCTTACACAGCTCCATGCCAGACAAAGAAACAGTAGTCTTTTAATCATGTACGTTTTCTTTTGCAATCCCTTCCTTAAATAAATTACTGTATAAAATAGAAATCAGCCCAAAGTGATTCCAGAGCTAAACTGTGACTTTCCCCCTCCTAGTGGGCTTCCTTGTGCACCAGGTTGACCTCTGTCAGAACAGATTGCTGAGCTGGGTGGACCAAGGGGTTCGATCCAGCAGGCCACTGCTTATGCTCTTATGTTCTTTGATCTAATACTTTGTTGAAGGCTTAGTGGCTGTGTTTTGAAATCTCTTTTCCCAACTTTCTCCCTCATTTAGATGGGTCCATAATATTTGAAGTTTGAAAGTCTAGTGCTAGGAGTCTGGCAGAGCTCTGCATAATGATTCTATCTTCTTTCTCCATAGGCCACTGAGTGCAACTATCTTTTCAGTATCAGAATCCAATTTAACTCCCCAACAAACATCTGGCTGGTAGGGCTCTAACCCAACTTGAGTGACGTTTCTCCTCCTCTCACCGTTCCTGGTCATCAGCATGGTCTAGGTTCTTTTCTTACAACTGGATGAAAAACCATCTAATACTTTCCAGATACCTTTCTTTTAGTCTGAGGCAGTCCTTCATGCCTCTTTCTTAAAACACTACATGACTAAGCCATGGTTAGGGCCACCTCTCCTTCAACGAGGGAAAGCTCTTGCAGGACATCCTGGTTTTCTATTAGGATAGGTCCAGCTACAGTGAAAACCCTTTCACTGTAGCTGTTCTTTAGATTTCTTAAGTCTTCCAGGCCACAGAAACAATCGCCAGAAACAAGAGGGGGAAATTCTGGCCCTTCTACTCACTTTACTTCCTAAGACTACCTGCTACAGCCTCTCTTGTGCTACTAATTTCTTTAAGACAATTATATTCTGCCCACTGATTCATATAATCATGAAACATCAAGTAATTACTGGCATGAATGAGTACCAAATCATGCATCTAATACCACAGACAAAACTCATCTCTCTCTCTGAATACCATGCTGTACTATGCAGCCCACTCATTAGTTAATTAACACTTCTAGAGAGTTAAGGCAGCTTAAGAGCATTTGACCCAAGCAATTTCTCTGGAGAAACGAGAAGACAGGAAGACAAGACGCACATCTTTCAGGATCCTGGACTGAACCAAAGCACCAGTCCCAAAGACAGCATACTATCCACTAAGTGTTTTCTACGCCCACTGTCTGATTTTTCCATTTGGCATTTTCTCATATCCTGTGGAATAAGAAGTTGTAAAGTCATCTGAAGCTTGTCACCCACCCCACTACCTCAATCATTTTTCATTTGCGCATGGACTACTCTGTGCATGCCGGTTCAATGGGGAATGAAGAATGGGGGATGAGGCACTAGCTGCATGAATATATCAGGCTTCAGTGCTCTAGTCTTTGGGCTTCCCAGATTGGGGGATCAGAGTTTTCAGAACTTTTGTCGGAATGAATGATTTTTTTTCTCACATGAGATTTTTTAGACTTAATATGTTTCTATCACTTTTATGAGGAAATCTACAAATTTTAGTATTTTCTTATAAAAAAGTCAAGAATGAATGAACTCCTCTCCCATCTACACAGATATGTCTTAAATAAAGAGGATCATCTTGGATTTGTCACCAAATGTATTTGGCAACCTGAACGGAGCACCACAAACAGGGGTGAATGCTTAAGAGTATAAATCTCAGACCCTGCAGTCTGGATGTTGTGTTTCATTTACCTTTCATTCAGATCTTTAAAATATTAGGATCTTTCTGTTTCAGTTATGAAGGCATTTGGCAATTTTGCTAAGTTCTTCTTCCAAAATGAATAGAATCTTTAGTTCTTTGTTCCTTGGCTTGACCTTAGCATTGGTCAAGGGCTCCTTTAGTTTGGGATGGTGCCCCTTTCAAAATCTGGATGGAAATGAGGCCATGCTTTTCATCAGGTATCCAGCAATATAATGCAGATATGAACTAGCCCATAATTGTGCCATCTTGACATTAATAAAATAATGACTAAAATGCTTCTTTACTCAGTATTGCCCTCCCCATGTCTACAATTGTTTCATCCACAATGCCAGTTATCCTGGGAGTTGCAATCCCAACTCAGCTGGAGAGTTCCTGGTTAGGAAAGGCTGGTCAACAAACATGACCTCCAAACACTGATTCCTCCACTTCTTTTAGTTAGAAGCTATATCAGTTTTATAATCATTGGCCTTTTGGGTTGAAAGTCCTATTTTAGTCAAACAGAAGTTCTTTTGAAAGAAGAACTGCTGAGGAATGAAAGGAGTTCAAAACAAGGAAAACAATTTGTGGTGGAAGCCTGTTTCAAGAGAATGCTAGTTGCTCTGCCCTCTTAAAGAACTTTCTCAATGTCTGTTGCTCCTCCCCAGCCAGGTGTATGTTCAACATGCAGAAACTGTAATTGGCTAATCTCACAGAATGGGTGAATTGCCCCAAGAGTGGAGGAATGCAGGAGATCCAGGGGTTAGGTAGTAGCACCAGATAGGGAGTAAGCTGATACAAGATTATGGAAGTTGCTGGCCAGAGGGATTCCAAGTGCTTGACTGAACATCCAGTCTGGATTTGCTTGAGATTCTGTCCCTTTCTTCAATGAATACAAGTGTAAGGATCTGGGAATCCATCTGAATGTTGGGATACCTGAAACCTTAAATCATAAAATCTAGAGTGGAGTACTTGCTAGTAACATTTCTTATTGAACTTTCCTAAAATAGTAACTCTATTCTGGGCCATTTTCACTTGTATCTGGCTAAAAAGCTATCAAGAGCTCTTCCACTGTCCTCTAAAGGTCATGTTTTTGACTACGCATCAGTTTGAAGCTTTCATCCAATATAGACCGCTTGTTGCGTCTCAGCCTCTTTTGTCTCTTGAGGTGAATGATCACACCGAGAAAGATACTGGCGGTGAGGAACAGTACAATCCCGGCAATAGCAAGAGTAATAATTGCTGCTTCTACATGTCCTGGGTCTAGTGTTGAGCCAAACAAAACGATGTCATGCGAGAAGCTTTTTTCTCCAGAAGTCCCCATGCTTTTCTCTTCAGAAGTTTCTGTTGGAAGTAAAATGAATTATGGAAAAGTCAAACTACTGAAAAAGAGAAATCAGACAACTTAAGCCATTGAAAACTGGAGAACAACAACAATAATAGCATAATAGCCAACCCAAGAAAGATTTTAAAAAGATTTTAAAATCAAGAACTCCCTACAGTTGGAAAACTAGATTAGGAACATGGCTAAACTGGAAATCCTTTTCAATTGATTGGATTTTGTCATTTAATTAAGTTGATCCAACAGAACTTCTTCCAGCTGTGTAATCTTGAGCTAAGCCTGGATTCATGCATTACATTAGGCCTGGTTTGCCTGAAATGGGCAAGCCCAAAGCCGAGGGCTGAACAGGCTTGTTCATATAGGATTAAACTACAGTATGGTTAAACATGATGGTTAATTGTGCTTCAGTCAAAGTCAAAGTGCTTTATTGGGGTTGTTGACTAGACTTGATAGCAAAACAGAGTAAGATGAATGAAGTAAGAATGATCAAATAAAATTGGGTCAAAAAGAAAAATGAGGTAAATATAAAAAATGTAGTCTGTTGGGTCTTGCCAGCCATTAGAGGAAATGTAGTGAAATTATAAGACAGTACATTGCTCTGAAACATAACTGAGATAAAAGAAGTCAGCATAACCAGAATATTGAGATAACAGAGGTGAAATATGTTTGCGTTCTAGTTTGTGGTAAGATTGACAATAAAGAAGTACGTGGACTGTTGTTTCAATAGCTCCTGATTTATAATGACAAAGGAGTTGCTTGTAGGGATTTCCTGGAATCTCCCTTTCAAAATGGCAGTTTGCAAGTGTGAGAGCTCTTTGCAATTCTGATATGGCAATTTGACTGAGAGATCTGACAGGCTCATGTCTGGTGACTGGATTACCTAAACAGACCTCAGCGGGAATTAGGCTATTCTCAGTCTGATGTCCACGTCGTACCCCATTGTGATCAGGGAGTGGGGGGAGAAGCTGCAGCAAGGCAGCTTTTCCTATACCCCTTTGCTCAGTGTTGTCCAAACTTGGCCACTTTAAGATGAGTGGACTTCAACTCCCAGAATTCCCCAGCCAGCATGGCTG